TCTCTCTTGCAATTCTTCCTGTTACATACTGAATATTTGAATTGTTTTATCTTAAACTGAAAAAGGTGATTGTTGCAATGCTATTTGTGGCCAATTGAAACCCCCACCGATCAAACGACATGGACCTTCCGTCGATACCTCGGCCTTGATACTTGCAGTTCTGCCCTATCCCGGAAGGGAGATACGCTAGATGAAAAAAAAAAGGAGAACAAAAACAAACAGCCAAATATATTGAAAAGCAAATCCTGAAATCAACTCTGGAACGTTCAATATTCAACGCTTGACGTCGGTATGTGGCTGGTTTTGGCGGCCACGGGGAGACCCGCTAATCGAAGTAGAACTCCTCCAGATGGATTCACACATGGATCATACGGAAATTCCGGTGATCGAAACTAATGAACCGCTATTTGATGTGCTTCCTAAGCTGTACAAGTAAGTCCTGTCTGCCTTCTTGATTAAGCAGAATTAACGAAGCCGCCTACAGCTTCATTACCATGGCCGTGGGTGATATGGCTTACACGTTTGAGCAAATGCTGTATGGATCACAAGGACACCGTCTTAGACAGCTGGTCCATGCTTTGGCAGATGATACCCACAATCCCTTTATCATCGTGGCATTGATGTAAGTTCACGACGAAGAGGACGCGGAACTGGATTGGCTGATTAATGAACCAAGGATACTCAAATGGGACTTCACCACTGCCACCGAGGATGATTGGGGACTCAATGAGAGCCGCGGTGCAGCCTGCGAATTTGTTGCCTGGCAATTCCTGTGTCACCTGAACCAGCGCGAGACAATTGAGTTTCTATTGGAAGAGCTACCAGCACCGCGGCGCGGTTCGGCAAATATCATTGAATCGGAAGCAGGTAACCCTGGCCTGGCATCTATCCAAGGGGATACGAGCCAGACGGAAGAGACCACTCCTCTCCTGCCAAACTCTTCTTTTTATCGTCTTTTTGGCGGTAAGAGAACCACAGAGACACAGTTATCTGGAGCCTCGCAGGATACACACCGAGATGATGAAACCTACGCCGCCCATAGATATTCCCGATTCTTTGGGTTGAATGCACTGGAGATTGCAACGATTGCCCACGCAAAGAGATTTCTGAGCCAGCGAGTTGTTCAAAGGGTCGTCGACGGTATTTGGAAGGGTGAAATCGTTTTCTGGGATTCTCTGACAGTCAATTCAACCAAGAAACCTCATATTTTCAACACAAGGTTAGGCACAACAAGCAATAGTCTTGCAGAGATACTGACCATTTTCTTCGATTAGAACGGCTGATCCATACTCACGCCTGAGAGTACCTCTGTATCGGAAAATCTTTGAAGCAGCATTCTTCATATCTTTCCTCTTTCTCTACTACGCAGTCCTGGTAGAAAGGAGACAAGAGGCTGTTGGCATCTTCGAGGCGGTGATGTATGTGTGGATCGTTGCTTTTGCATACGATGAATTGAGTGGAATAATTGACGCAGGAGTCATTTTCTACCAAATGGATTTCTGGAGTCTCTGGAACCTAAGCATAATTGGTGTTGGGATAGCATTTGTCATAACAAGTGAGTCACTGGTTGCTCATTTTGCCTTGCGGCTCGTTGTTAGCAGGTCATCTGTGTCAACCGTGCGACTAATGAGGAGACCACAGGGGTCATTGGGCTAGCGAAGGGCGACAACCCCATTATTGAGCTCTCATTCGACATTCTATCCCTGGAGGCTCTATTTCTTGTACCGAGGCATGGCTATTCGTGGAATTACCATCTGGGGGGGACAGGACTGACACGAAATGAACAGGATCTGCTCACTCGTGAGCTTGAATTCATACTTCGGCAGTCTAGTAAGTGGATCCTACATGCAACATTATTGTTCTATAAATGGATTGACTGATTGTGGCTATGAACAGATACCAGTATTGAAAGAGATGGTGCGATGTCCCCCTAATCCTTGCTTGGGTTGGCTTTGGGACCCAAGGCTGATTGAGGATGTGTCCCAGACGAAAGCATTCTTCAGATTTTTCCCGGTGGTGGTAGTGTTGTATATTGGTAAGTGTGGCTAAGCACATATCTAGACAGGTGAATCATTGTCGGTGCCAAATTGCTGAACCGCTGCAGGGTTCTTGACCACATTCACCATGCTCGCGCGTGACCGCTTGTCGCTCAGCACAATGTCACATTTGTTAGTGAAAGTGTTCTTTGGGTACGGTGAAGTAATCCCTGTTGAGACCGCTTTTTCATTTTTTTACTGACCATTTGAAACAGATCGAGCGTTCTTGGATTAGTGGGTTCATGTCTCCTTTCCCATTTTAGGGATGTGCACTGACAGTGGCTGAATTGATTGGATGATAGGACACCGCGTCTGAAGTAAGTCTGCGCACCAGGCGGCTGTCCTGCAGCTCAAATCGCATTATCCCGGAGTATTGGCAAAATGGTTGGCTATCGTGTTAAGTTGACTTACACGCTAATTTTTTAGATCTCCCCCATCTTCGGCTATGGCTTGATGTGAGTTCCCTGACTTTTTTCTTTGATTTTTATTGCGCCACACATTAAAAAAAAAGAGTCGCATGTGCTTTTGATCACGTTCTAATATGCAAGTGACGTCCGGTTGCATGGTCTTTTTGGGGGGTGCCATTAGCACACGGGGATCTGCTGCAACTTCCACGCATTGGTTTCTTTTCGTAAAACGATGGATGAAAAAGATGCTGACAGCTAGAATGACTTACAGGCTTACTTTCGCTCTAATGACCAATACCCTCATTCTCTCATCCTTGATTAGTTTGATGAGCATGAGCCTTGAAGGGGTAAGTAAACACGGTCTACTATAGTTGTGCGGCAGCCGATTAATTTCCATTTACTCCGGTATTGTGATAGGTGATGCGCCATGCCCGAGAAGAATACCTTTTTCAGTAAGTACATATGTATACAGACATGCCTGCTCTTCTGAATTTTGGCACTGCCCCGTGGAAAATTCCATTTTGACAAGCCAATCAGGTTGGCCATTTATGTCCTAGAAAGCAGCAATTCTCGACGACTGACATACTTTATGCCACCCCTGGTCAGTTAGCGTCTGATCCTTGACTTGAATCTTTCGCTGTATGTTCTGGAATATTTCCAAGCTAACACTGAGCAGAATCTTATACCCCTCCTCTGTATCCGGCCCATGCGGCTTTTTCTCTCTGCTGGAACAGTTCGCAGCGTACGCATTGTCTTGCTTCGAGCCACCCACCTCCCGTTTGTCGCATTGATATGGGCGTACGAGTTTAAATGGCAACATTCAAAACGACAGAGCAGCCAACTTGGCCCAATGTCGACACGCGGTCCAGGAACTTCTGAAAACCCGACTGAGTCAAGGTGTCAGGACCCACACCACCCCTCCTTAGTTGAAACAAATCGCCTAGGCCCTGGAAAAGCACCCAGTGTGGATCAGCAAGCCGCGCGTGAGCTAGACATGGGGCAGTTCGGGAAAGTACCGCAACTCGCGGACCTGATCGACACAATAGAGCGACTACGAACTCAAGTGGAGGCTATTGCTCAGCAAAAGTGAATTACGATTTACAACACAATGTACAACACAATGTGCAAATTACCGTGTTCTCCGCACTGACTTGTGATCTGCGGAGTTGACGGAGTTCTAAAAGAACGGCGCGGTAGAGGGGTCACTGCCCTGGCGCTTAGGGCCACGCACGCCCTGCAGCACCGGAGGCGCTAGTCGACGTCGGGTCAGTTTAGTGGCAGAGCCACTTTGACTCCAAAAAAACCGTTCGATATTCCTGTGAACAACCATATCGATTAATAGCCTAATCCAAACAGGCTTGGTGGCTTTTTTTTTTCGGGGTTCGGTCTTTTTCTCCTATTTCTTTTTCTTTTTCTTTTCTTTTCCTTTCTTTTTTTGGCTTCCCCCCTGTCCCTGGCGTTTCAAGATTGATTCTCCTTTCCAATCAATTTCATGTTCGATCCACAAGAGGGGGAAAAGCGAGTAGTAATTAGATCATGGCCATGATGACCTTGAAGTTGAATCCGGATATCTCATAGAGACGGTTTGTCCGGGGGCGCGTCAATTACCTGTGGAGTCAATGTGGAGTTTCCGCGCTATGGTATACATGAAGCCAAAGGGATCGAGCGGTTCGGAAGGGCTGGCCCGCATACCACTGAGGTCACGATAATTAGTTCAGTTCGTGAAATATTGATCAACTTCATCATCCAATTCGGGACTTCGTCAGAAAATACATTCCCCACCGTCCTAGCTATGCGGGCTGTGCTCATGGTCAACAGGCCCTCGACACACACCAATGCACCTCGCCAAGCCGATCCAGGGACTCGGGCTCTGCTAATGTCTCTGTATGGCTACTACCTGCATGGGACACGTCTCGGTTGGGCAGACCAGCCCAACGGTGGTGAAAGGGATGGTTAGCCTTTTCCAGACAAACCCAACAGCCGCCGTTATGCATCGTCATATATCTCTTATGTACCTATCAGTTCATTACAGGGTATTACGATCTCCAAAAGTGCCCGAAACTAGGCTGAAAATGCAATGATTTGCCCTAGTTGCCTATGAGATAGTAGTATATCTTGATCTCTCCGGAGCTAACCCTCTGTGAGTGCCCATATGCCAGACCTGGACTGCCATCGATCTCGTCCGGATTACCCTTACCCCCCGGCACTTAATGCCCCCCCCACCCGAATTTCTCTTCCACCGCAATTACAGACCCTTTCCTCTCCAAATCTGCCTTGTCTGTGACGGCGTCAAGTCGTTGAATCTTCAACATTTGTCGGTGTCGATGCGGCGCAAGCTCTTCTCCAATGAATTCATACCCTATCCACTACCCTCCTCTCAGCCACCGATGTATGCCGCTGTCAATCACCAACAGCGAAGCTGTTGACTCAAAAGCCTTTACTATATATAGTTTGATTTATCGCCCTTCGTTCACTCTGATATAGACTAGCCCTTTGGTTGGTTATTTGATGGGAATACACTTATTATTCTGTCTTATTGAATTCGGCTCTCTACACCATGAATCGGAATTTAGTTCATCCCACCTCAATCACATCCCCGCGAAGGGAGGATGTACCGTCTCGCGAAACATCCTCGGTATACTCTTCGCCCATTTCTACCTCGTCTCAGGGAGGCCTTTCCCCTATTGGTCTGGGGATTACCCACTGCGAAATCGAGAATGCATTCGGTCAACTGAGGGTCTTCCCTCCCGCGCCTACACTACCATCGCAACTAGTTCCTGGAGCGCCAACTCCCACTTTCGCCGTATCCTATGACGAGTATTCCGGCGGAGCATGCTACCCACCAGTTTACAATGGCCTCGTCAACAGTGCTTCGGAGACTTCACTGGGGTTCTACAGCCCCACGACGATGAGCGCATCCCCCAGTTACAATTCCGCCATGGATGTTGTCCCTGGCCAGAACGTCTTCCCGAGCCAGATGACCGACATGTGGATGCAGACGCCTTGCTCGGGACCGACAACGCCATCGGATGTTCCACCGGGCACTGTGACGAACGGCGCCGCAGGACAATGGGGCCAGAGTGTGTTTCCAGATGCGTGCATGCCCTCCACGATGCCCCTATTGTCAGTCAACGATGTTTCCTACCTTGGGCCGATGGGAGAGGAGATTGGATACGACGGATCCCCCGGACAGAGCATGAACACTGGACAAGTCATGTCTCAACCTCTAGCGCTTGAAGGGACCGATGGTGCCACGAACCCGAGCGGAAGAGAACGCGGCTCATCAAATGACAGGCTAGTATCTGCCAGTGGCCTGGAATGTCCGATTTGCGGTTTCAAATTCACCCGACGCTCCAACTGCAAGGAGCACCAAAAGATGCACAACCCTGAATGGAAGAACAACCATCCGTGCGAGATCTGCCACAAGTCGTTCGGGCGAAGCTCTGATCTCAAAAGACACATGAACACCGTGAGTGGGAAGACCAAACGAGCCAAGAACAGATACTAACGAGGATTCTAGGTTCATCACGGGCTACGGAAGTACAGCTGTGATCTTTGCGACCGGCGTTTCAGTCGCCATGACAGTCTGGTTAGGTACGGTCCCAGAACATTATCCTCGGTGAACGTGTACTGTGCTAATATGGGATAGACATGATTGCGTAGAGAAGCACCGCACCGCTGGCACGTCTACCGGCCAGGCTGAGTCTTCGCTCATGCCCAGGCCGCGCCAGCGAGCATCGAACCACCGCCGCTCCGCTAGTTAACAGTACAGACAGCTGATCCCAGGCTTGCATGTTTACATGAATATCGGAGGGAAATATCGTCTACATTGGCTATGATTCTTGCGGGTTGCATAGTTTTGCCATGGGGTCTGCTGGTCAGAGATACCTTGAATTTTCTTTGCTTTTATTTGCTGGGCTTCATGAGATGCGGGATTCCTATTGGGATTGACGTATCCCACATGGCATGAAGTCCATTTCCTTGGCGTTGTCGGATTGTTATACGATGCATTTTGGTTGGAATTTTGAATTATTGTACTGCAGGTGGTCTTTTTTTTTTTTCTTTTTGATTTTTTCTCGCATTGTTTCAATTTATTTGCTATATCTTGATATATTACGTATATATTTCCCATTTCGAACGTTGAATGTGATACCATTTGCATACAACCGCATGAGCTGGCGCGCGGGTAACGAGATCGGTTATGTACTAACAGCCAGTATCACGGCACCTGCAGCTCAAGATCGACATGGACTTTAGGACAGACTGAAGATCAGAATCTTGAGTACGGAGTACTCCGTACAACATATGTTGTACACCTGTATGTACATATTGTATGAATGCAGGTTGACTACTCCGTACCAATGCGCTAGACAAGCTCAAAAGAATGTGGAAATTGGACTTATTTCCACAAAGGAATTCTTCGAACAAAAGTTTCCCCTTCCCCTTCCCCTTCTTTTCCGACTCTCCGAGGCCCGTTGGATCTCGACTCTTGCCGCGCTCCACCCAGGAACGCCAAATCACACGCTAAAACCAAGAGGGATCTTCGACATTCAGATCAAAGGGAAGTGTGAAACAACTCTAACTCTCTTTAGTTTTATTGAGCTATCGCGGAGCTACTCTAAGTTTGCAAATCCCAAAAAAAGCGCGAATCCAAAATGTCTACGGAATACTAGTAATAGGGATCGTACACAGGGTATGTCTCACCTTAGCCCTGACCTCCTGCAATCTATTAATCCTTGCTCAGTCAAAATATACGGAAAGTATACGGAAAATATAGTGATTCGATGTTCTGCCCTCCAATAATAAATCATATTATTGTCCTCTCAATTTCAACCCCGCTATCTCCACTGCTCCTAAGCTAGTCGTCTTAAGTGGAGACAAAAGACAACTGGCCATTTGGAATTGTGCCTCCGGTGCAGCCGCGCAGGAGACATCGCGTCTGTTCGCCTATCTAAAAAATGGGTCCATCATAAACTACTCCGTACTTACTCCGTACTCTGTGCACTACATCCGGATGCTATTAGTTTAATATACGATTTACGCGTTCAAAATATCGGAGTGATCCTGCCCCTGAGATTTTGGAGTGGGCCCGAAAGATCCATTATCCAGCACGAGACGGAGTAGCCTCTCCGGTACGGATTAGAGAGTTGAGGCGTTTACACTTAGGACACTATCGGCAAGCAATTTCCCATTTGATCCGAAAGAGGTGATGTTCGTATTGGGCAAAGCAAAAAAGAAGTAGTACATTGACTCCGTAGGTAGAGATAGCTGATGGAAAGCTGTCTCAGCACGATATTTCTATGACATCCAATTTGCAGATCCCTATGATTTCCATGGAGCTATGGCCTCAAGCTAAAAAAGAAAAGGAAAAAAAAAAAGGAACCGTGCCTAAAAGGAATCATTGCCGATCTTTACGGAGTATACCTCTGACTCCGTGCGTATCCGCAATATCCGCAATGAACGAAGGAATACTCCGTAGGAACAAAGAAATCCGTGTCCGTCTCAATGTTTTCGTGATGGGGCTCTCGGGCTCTCCCAATTTCAAAAGGTTTATCACAATATAATTTGTCGCTCTTCATCTGGGGAATGTGTCGGGTTATCCATCACTAGTACCAGCGCCACTAGCACTACGGAGTACTGCCAACGGCTTTGCAATCGGCACACACGGCCTAGACCTATTGATCTGTTATTACCTACCCCTGAGTTTTGATTTGGATATTAGAAAAATTCACACAATCCATGGTGGAAGCTCTCCTCTCGCTGATTGAGGATCTATGCTAGCATCGGATATGCAGGGATAATCCCGATTATCAATTGGATCGGTAAATGTCAGAAGTCTACGGAGTACCGAGTATGTATGGGTTGGATTACTGAGATTTTGTCTCAGGATCACGACAGAATTTGGATATCCGATTGGGTGATCTTGCGCCGTGGATATTGGCATAGGCATCCAGTCACATATCACATGGGCTACCACGACTCATCACACTAAATAGTTCGGACAGTGTCCGAGCTCATGATATATAGTGCTTTTATTAGAATAAGGAAATCCCCTAAGAACATGTCTGATGCACCTGTGAAAAACGTTCGGGAAAAGAGAGAACAGCCGCTGCTTGCTCAATGCTGAGTTTATTAAAGCCTGCTATATATTGTGAACACAGCCATCGTATATGGACCACTCCCCAAGCTGACAATAGAAATTACCTGGTTCCTATTATATTTCTTTATTCGAAATGGTTACTGTAGAAATTTTCGATGTATTCTTTTACCCGAATCTATCTGTCGTCTATTCTACCTTACGCCCGTCTTTTAGAAAGCATGGATCAACTTCACCTATCTAAGACTCGGTGGGCTCCGGCTCAATAGAGGTCATTCCTGGGGAATCTGAGAAACTATCTCCCGTCTCTCTCTCTCTCGATTAGATCCGGGAATTACTGTGACCCGTAATTGCTTTCCTAGGCCAACGAGTCTTGGCCAGTCAATGGTTCATGCTCGGATTGTTGGTTAAGAAGATAAGAGACTCAATTGAACAGCCCCTGGGGCTGTGACGAGGGAATAGAGGACAACTTCAATTCTTTGACGTCGAGCTGTAATGCCACAGGCTACTCTTACTTCCCTAACTACGTACGCGCTCAATACAACTACGACTACGACTGAAACTTCGTCTTCTGCGATAGCCACCACCACGGCTACACCTAGCTATACAAACTATTATTAGGTGAAAGCGGCGTTGGCGTTGAGTGGGGTCTTAATGGGTTGAAGGCCTTTTGCAATATCCAGACTTTGTTTTTGAAGAAGAGTGTCTGAGTTTGGAATGGTGGACGAAGGACATCTTGATATTGCTGTCCTATGCTTGCATTCGAGATTTTCAGTGCGAATTTTGTTAAATGTAAATTCAGAAACTTCTTTCCCCAGTTCGTGAGATATTGGCGTAGAGAGGAAGAGACGGGGAAGGAGCAAGGTCCTACCTGCCTGAGGCAGAGCATCCAAGTAGACTTCCAAAAACAAGAACAAGCATAGTCGGCTTATGGGCAGTTTGCACTTGATAATAGCACTTGAATAATCTGATCTGGTTGGCTCGAGATGATGATGTTACATTGAAGATACTATAGCGATGTCTTCTTACGCTGTCTTGTTCAACATCACGCAGCCACTTCCACTTCCAATGGACTTTTGAGAATATCTGCCCGAGAAAGCTTCCCTGCCAGAATCAACTTAAGTCTCTCACTCAAAGCCGCTCTCTCTTTAATCCAGGTCTTAGTATGACCCTCAATCAAAGACAAACCACGCTCAGCTCTTCCAGTATTGACCCATTTAATTAACTCTTCAACATAAGGTTGCTCCTGGTCCTTGAGTGAATGAAAACTCCGTCCAAGCCCCTTCTCTTTGACGCGATTCTCATATTCCGTCCGGAGACTTGTAGAAGATGGAAGCTTCGCAACTCCAGATAGGAAGGCTGTCACGGCGATAGCTTGAAACTCGAATAGCGAGAACGTCGCAGTGTAAAACGGGATCCCGACGAACGCAAGCGTGGGATCTGGGATGTAGAAAATGTCTTGATGCAAGTTGTGGACTTGAGTGCCGTCCGTGACAAGTACCCTGTCATTTGCCTCAGCGGCCGACGCGCTGTAATCGTTGTATTCGTCGAGGAATGGAAGTGCCATTTGGTATCCTGTGCAGAGGATAATTGTATCTATATTGTGCAAGGTCTTCGCGGATTTCAGATGTACGGTTAAGGGTAAGTGCTCGATATTTGCGGATGTCGATGTGGAGAGTTCGAATGCTTCGACCTCGGCAATTCTCGAGGCGTTCTCTGGAAGTGCACTTTCGGGGAGGTCAAAGGCGCCATTTCGAGTGCTTTGATACACATGTTCTGCGGTTCCACTGATTTCAATGGCTATGTCGAGGGAAGAAACGCCGCCACCGAGCAATAGAACATTCTGCAGTTTAGTCAGTCCAGTGTCACTCCACACTAGGGTGCGGTCATTCCCACCTTTCCTTTAAATCCTTCTGACTTACGAAAAGACTTTGAATGAAAGATCCTCTCGGGCCATCGAGCTTTTGCTTCTGGTAAACCCCGTATGTTCGGGATGAGAGGCGTATGATAATGACCCGAGGCAACAATAACCGAATCAAACGTCTATGACACGGTCAGGACCACTTCTGAAAAGAAAATAAAAAATCTTATGGAGATGGAGGACTTACGGCAGATTCCTTATTCTCAATGGGATATTGATCTTCACTCAAAGTGGTCCAGTGAACTGTCCATGTTGGCCCATCCTTATGAACTCGGGTGACTCTGGCGCCAAACTTGGTTATATCATCAACACCGGCCTTGCTAGACGTATCTTGAATATATTCCTTGAGTACATGGTGCTTCACAAAAGGGGCAGTCCCTTCTGGCCATGCGTTGAGTTTCGTCTGTAGTAAAGGGGTCGAGACATTATTCGTGAGACTTTCATAACAAGGCCTGGAAAATGGTGAGCACGACTACTGTATAAGGGGGAAAAGAGAAGAAACCCTGAAACCTACCCTGGAGGTGCGTGAAGCAAGACCTTTCTTTCGTTGTCTTCCCTCTCATCCTTCACGTATTCCTGTGAGGCAGACGGTCTCGGTGATGGGTACTGTGCTTCGATGGGAGTACGCTTATCATAAAGCCTACAACATAGATTGTGTTAGTGCATTATTCCAGATCAAAATAGACGCAAGACCTTACCAAACTCCACCAGCTGCATTGTTTCTCTCAAAAACCGTCACCTGAATCTCGGCAGCCAGAAGATGCCCAGCAGTGACCACTCCGCTGATACCAGCCCCAATAACAGCAACTCGAACAGAGTCACTCATGATTTTCACTTAAGCAAACAAGTAAAGAGATAATGTGCCTATCCGCGTCTACGTGTGATTATTCCCGCACTTAAGGGCCCTCTAGACGACAAAATGGGCTGATATATCGCAATTTTTACCGGAACAACCGGCAGGGTACATAGTCAAGCACTGCGAATTATCGTGATTTTGATCGCAGATTGTGAAATCGGAGGTTCCCCACTTGCAATAGCAATACATAGCAGGTATACATTGGACAATTTACATCGAATCAATCCGGAAAGAGGGGTATGGGGATGACAGTGACCGGAGATAACTAAAATTGACATGGCCGACGAAAGGCGTAATGACTGATGACGATGATGTGCTCAACCCAAACAAAGTACAACTTTGATCAATCAAGCAATCAAGATTTCTAAAATACGTATATAGTACAGGGTATCGATTAGAACCAATAGGAATTACAAAGTTCCAAAAGGTTTTCCATCGCTCCAGCTCCGGTTTATTTGCGCATCGTCGATGTCGCAGAGCACAGTAAAGACACTCTCGGTCTTCCTGGTCCTGCGTGAGAACGCTTAGAAAAGGCCCAGAATGATGTGATTCTAGGATACATACCGAACCTCAATATCGAGGTTCGGTTTGAAAGGACCCCACGGACGAGTGCGTTGTGGGATAACCGTTAAGTCAGTATCCTGGAACGCCTCTTGGATTTAAGCTTATTCCTCGATAGCCTCACGATCCATAACTCAAGCTGGGCTATGAGGGATTCCAGCCTAGACACGGGACACGGGTGACTTCGCTCGCCGAGAAGCCTGTATTTGTTCCAAATGTGCCAACTCGGCGGGAGCGGGCCAGAGGAAGCTGCAGAATTGGAGAAATTGACTAGTCTCCTCGAACTGAAGTGATAAGATGCCTTAGCGCACATGATGGCTTGGTAGTGTGAACTGATACGGCATCTGACTCGTGTACTGGTAGGCCTCATCTTGAATACAATTTTGATGATTGCAATAGCCAGCTAAAATCCCATAAGTAGAGATAGTCGACAGCCCTTAGTGGAGGATGTTATGGTAGTTCCCCTGGGATTTCCCGATAAAGGCAAACAACGGAGAAGGCAAATTTGCCGATCCTTGCCGCCTTTGACCCAACGCCGCATTTCCTCTGATTTCTTTCTGTTGGGATTCAGATTACTTTCTTTAACTTCAACTTTCGGCCAGAATGAGTGCAACAACGACAATCACCAGTCCGCCTGAGATCACAGCGGACAATGTCGCCACTCTCTTCCCGAGGTCGACACATCGCTCGCCCGTGAAGTTCTCCCCACAAGCCAAACAAACACTGCGCGCGGCAGCGAACTCGAGGGCTACGATGAAGAGCAGGTCCGCCTGATGGACGAGGTCTGCATAGTTTTGGATAACAATGACCGGCCCATTGGAAGTGCCAGCAAGAAGATCTGTACGTTCCATGACCCCATAATCACCCGCCGAGATACAGAATGGCGGGGTAGTGGGCACAACATGCGAGATACAACGCTGACAGATGCATTCGCATAGGCCATTTGATGACCAACATCGACAAGGGTCTCCTTCACCGCGCCTTCTCTGTTTTCCTTTTCGATTCCAATAAGCGTCTTCTGCTCCAACAGCGCGCCACCGAGAAGATCACCTTCCCCGACATGTGGACCAACACCTGCTGCTCACACCCCCTTGGAATTCCCGGCGAGACTGGATCTGAGCTGGATGCTGCCGTGATGGGCGTGAAGCGTGCTGCGCAGCGCAAGCTGAACCACGAACTGGGCATTAAGGCAGAGCAAGTACCCCTGGACAAGTTCGAATTCTTCACAAGGATTCACTACAAGGCCCCCAGTGATGGAAAGTGGGGTGAACATGAGGGTATGTTGCATGGTGCCATTTATATTTGACCTGATAAATGGAAACACTGACATTCTGCTAGTGGACTATATCCTCTTCATCCAAGCCGATGTCGATCTGAACCCCAGCCCCAACGAGGTCCGAGACACCACCTATGTCTCAGCTGATGAGCTTAAGGCAATGTTCGAGCAGCCCGGTTTGAAATTCACCCCGTGGTTCAAGCTTATCTGCAACTCCATGCTGTTTGAGTGGTGGAGCCACCTCGGTACCCCGGCCCTGGATAAGTACAAGAACGAGCAGGACATTCGTCGAATGTAAAAACCCGATGCATAGTATACTGCATATTCTGGTTCCATTTCGGCCTGTTTTTGTCATCTTTGCATTCCTCAGGGCAGACCCGCTTCCTTTACGAGACTCATGGAAATATACCTCTGCACACGAGACGATTGTCACGACATCACTTCTGATATTTTAACCTCTCGGTTTACTTTTAGGAAATCAACACATACCCAATGCTTGGTCCTGATGTTCTTCGTGTTGTGCTTCAGAGTATTCCCACAGTGGTCCCAATAAGACCTGGTCAAGACGTAAATACATTAATGCAATAGTGAATGTAACAAGTAACCAAAATGCCCAAGAGTAATGCCAACGCCAGCGCTAATGAAATGAATCGAGAAATATGACCCTAGCACGACCATTACTGCGCTGGATCCGTCGACAAAAACAAAATGCAACTGCCCAAAATCACCGTCCCAACGACCGTAAAAATAACCTGCGTTTTCCAACCACTCTGCACCAAAGCCGCCTTGCGCGCATACTTCTTGACCGTGCGGGAGTAATTCGCAAAACCGTTCGCCAAAGAGGTCAAACTCAGAAGCCAGAAGATGATCCCGAGCGGTAAGGCCATGCGTCTCTCTAGGCTGGTGGGTTGATCACGGAAATGAAAGGATATGATGATGGCCAGGGATACCACAGCCAGATACATGGACAGACGGAGCCATGAAAGGAAAGTGCGCTCGTTGGCGCAGTGGTCGCGGGCGTCGGAGGAGCTGTTTTCGAATAGGAGGGCGCCGAAATAAGGACGAGAGAGGAATATGTGGCGTTGGGACTCGACGTGTCTTCAAGATTGTCAACTGGACTGTCATTTCTGGGTAGAATGTGGAGTGGGGCGTGCGGGAATCATGGCCATGGAACATGCCAGGCTTGACTTCGAAGGACGGCATCATGTAAGGGATCAAGCCACCGGAGAACGTGTTTTCCTCTCCGGCCATTTCGCGCTCCGGCCATTTCCACAGAGATGGACGGTTTGACTTACTCTTCCACGAGGACCGGCTTAGAGTTTACCGGGTTGATCAAAGGGTTGAAGGGGGACGAACACTCCCGATCTGTGTCACCATCTGGGACATGGTGAAGGGTCTGATACTTGAAGCTCGATCATCCCCGAAATCTGGAGAAAAAACCTGGGGAGCAACCCATCTTGAGACTGGTCATGTGATGAATGCTCTATACTGTTTTCGGAATGATGTCATGGTTCTTGTTTTCTCATTTGTTCTTCTGCCCAGGTGGGATCTGATCTGATGATCTACAGCCCCAGCGTCTACGCATTGATAGGGTGACCGGGGTCAGATTCTCGAAGTATACCCTTTTTTATGTAGGACCTCACCCCGGTTATACATGTACATATTGAAACAAATCCGACCTGATGAGAAGGATCCTATAATTACTACATGGGCAACATAGTGGTAAGTCATCCATAGATGTCCTGTTCTGAATCATCTACCTACATGTATGGATACCTACCTACATAGGTACTTCCAAAGTTGACTCATACTCCTTACTTGAAGTGTCTGCATTATCGTCTCGTTGGGGGGGGGGGGTAATTCTGTAAATAACTGTAAATTACCAACTCCTGAACCCGCACCATCCGTATTCGCAGTATTACAAATACATCTCCGCATCCAGCTCTGAGCCGCCTTTTCCTCTCGCTTTTTGCCTTCTTGAAATATCTCCAAAGCTCCAAGGATCTAGAGTCTCGACTCGAGGTAGCTCAATTTATCTTGCTGTAAATAATGCAGTGGCCGTAAACACCCATAGCCTCGTCTCTCACATTTTATCATGGCCCGAAATATCCGCTCGGTGGATTCCGCCGAGCATCAAAGCTCATTTAGCCGGTCCTTCACATCCAGCTCGCCCATTGCCGCCTCGGCAATTGCACGAGACCTCGCAGACTACAGCGACGAAGATCAAACACCCACCGATGAAGCTTCCGACACCTCAACGGCCCGTCCGCCCGGCAGCTATGCCAGCACCAACCCCCGCTCTTTAGCCGGTTCATATCGCCGCCCAGGTTACTTCACATCTGTCAGCCATGCGACTGTAGTTCCCTGGGCGGGAACAGCAAACCCTATCTCAAAGCGAGCGCGAGCAAATCATTGAAGAAGAACGGCACCTACTGAGTGATAACCATGTTATCGCGCCCGAGCATGCGCATGGCAAGTCCCACGGGCTGCAGCGTAAGATGAGCGGTTTGCTATCCGCTGCTATCGGCCAAGGGTCGCAGTCCCGACGGCCTAGTGGATCATCTCGACGTTCTAGAAGCGGGGATCCCGAGACGGACGGTGCAAGCGAAGTCACTGCTCTACTTGGAGAGCGCGCTGAAGATGCCGAGGGTAGTGACCTGGACTTGGAAGAGATTGACCGGAAATGGGGAGAAGCCGTCGCAGCTGGTTTGATCCAGACGACGTGGCAGCGCGAAGCAAAGGTTATTATGAAATACTCTTTGCCGCTCATGGTCACTTTCTTGCTGCAGTACTCTTTGACTGTGGCCAGTATCTTTACTATTGGCCATCTTGGAAAGGAAGAGCTTGGAGCTGTCAGTCTTGCGAGTATGACTGTGACAATCACCGGAAATGCGGTGTACTCGGGTCTGGCGACCAGTTTGGACACGCTTTGTGCGCAGGCCTATGGCTCTGGGAAGAGGAAGCTGGTGGGTCTGCAGATGCTGCGTATGGTTTATTTCCTTTGGACTATCACCATTCCAATTATGATTCTCTGGTATTTCTCCGAGCATATCCTCGCCAAGATTGTGCCAGAGAAGGAGGTTGCTGAGATGGCAGGTGTGTATTTGAAGATTGCTCTCTTGGGAACACCAGGATTCGCTCTCTTCGAGAGTGGTAAGCGATATCTCCAGGCCCAGGGTGTGTTTTCTGCCTCCCTATATGTCCTCATCATCTGTGCGCCACTGAATGCTTTTATGAACTGGTTCTTTGTCTGGGTAAGTATTTCCCATATCCAGCCTTTTGACAAGGATAAAACTGACTTGGATACTAGAAACTTCAATGGGGCTTTATTGGGGCTCCGATCGCCGTCGTAATCACAGAAAATCTCCTCCCGCTCTGCCTGTTTGTCTACGTTTATTTCTTCGTGGGATCCGAGTGTTGGTGCGGATTTACCAAACGAGCATTCCAGAACTGGGGCCCAATGGTCCGTCTCGCACTCCCTGGGCTGATCATGGTCGAGGCAGAGTGTCTGGCCTTCGAAATTTTGACCTTGGCGTCAAGCTATCTCGGCACATCAGCACTCGCAGCGCAATCCATCCTCGCAACAATCTCCAGCATTACATGGCAGATTCCATTCCCGCTCTCTATTGCGGGTAGCACGCGGATAGCAAATCTGATTGGGGCGACTTTGGTCGATGCCGCAAAGACCTCTGCGAGAGTGAGCTTCTGCGGAGCAGCCATGGTTGGCGTGTTCAACATGGTCCTCCTCTCAACTTTGCGGTCGTACATCCCCAGGTTGTTCAGCTCCGATCCCGAAGTCGTCGAAATTGTAGCGCAGGTGCTTCCGCTCTGCGCGGCCTTCCAGCTTTTCGATGCTCTCGCGGCAAACTGCAACGGTATTCTCCGTGGTCTGGGTCGCCAGGAAGTGGGCGGCTATGTCCAACTCTTTTGTTACTATGTGATTGCCATGCCTCTTAGTATGGGAACGACATTTGCTTTGAATTGGGGTGTTATGGGCTTGTGGACCGGGGTTGCCCTTGCCCTTGCCCTTGTTTCCTTCATCGAGGCCATCTTTATCAGTCGGGCTAATTGGAATCGCTCAGTCGAGGAAGCTCAAAAGAGGAATGAGCTGACTTAACTTGATCCTTGGTATATACGAGAAGCGTTGACATGACTTGATATCCATGCAGTTCATGACACAAAATGGTTAAATCTTTTCAGCATGTATGATTTTGTATTCCGTTCTGCATTAGCGGTGGCTTCAAGTGATTTCTGTTTCGGCCCCCTTGTCAACCCCAACCCTGTCGTTAATTCTGTCTACATGTATATAAAAAAGCATCCAGATAGAGCAATCTGCGACTCTATCAAATGTTATACAAGACAAATCATGATATCATTGGAGTCCGAATGTGACTTTTAACGAATAACACAGACATGACCACTCACATCTCTCTAGTACTCTAGAATCGCCCAAGTCTGCTCATCCATGGTGGAGAAGATCACACCAGCACCAAGCAACTCCTCACCAGCCCTAGCCACTTCAGTCGCAGGCATGTTCAATTTAGAAGCGATGACCTGCATGTGTAGACCCGTATCATCCTGAGGCTCCGTCTTAAGCAGGTTATAAATCTTCTTCGCAACAAGCGACATGGAAGCAAGAGCCTTATTCTGCCCAGAACCGTAGTCATCCGCACCACCCATAACAGCATCACCACCAGCATTGCCGCCAGGAGCAGCGCCACCGGGCGGACCACGAGTGAAGAACAAATGCACAGCAGTAGCCTCGAGCAGATGAGTATGCAGCTCATTGATATTCGACAAGGGCCGGACAGAATGAGCACCAATGTACCGCTTGTTACCAAAGGACTTGATGGATCCAAAGACCCGTGCGTACCCGTTGAGCTCGAGCTCAGTCTTCCCATCGCCGGGCGCCTTGCCGTCGTCGGTGTCCATGTTGTCTGCGGTGGTTGAGTCGACCCATTTCTTGACTTCGATCTCGCCCGTGCCATCGTCGATCTTGTATGTCACGTTTGTGCTCTGTGAGCTGATGTTGCGTACTTGGCCCATGAAGAGGACGTTGGCGACGTCAGCGCCGTCGACTTGGAATGGGGCTTCGGGGAAGGGCTGCGAGGCGTCGAGGACTTGCTTCACTGTCACGGGACGGAGGGTTTTGTTGTCGCGGTCAAAGGTCTGCATTGGGTATTAGTTGGTTTTGCTGTATAGAGAAGCCTGAGACTAATATACCTTGCCTCTGGGCGGGACTGTTCGTCTCGCCCGGCATGAATCCTCCACCGCCGCCGCCGCCGAATGAGCTATAATTGTTGTAACTGCCGTCTAATGATATTGTTAGATTATAACATAGTCAATAGGTTAGTCTGGGTGTGACACATACCCATGGTGTGTGTTGTGTTGTGAAGGGGAAAAGTCAAGGTACAGTCGTCTCTTCAACACCATTTTACTCAATTGGGAGCGTGTTGCACGCGTCGCGGGGATCGTGTTCTGCCAGTGTAGACCGCCTCCCAAATTGGTCTGCGCTCTCTACTTTATAGTCACTTACGTTCTCAGTTTCAAGCTTGATATAGGCTATTTTTACTTTAAATCGATCAATTGCTCTCATAATAGCATCTTCCAATTGGTGAAATTATATATTGCCTTGAGTTTTTAAAAAGACATGCCCAATCCGTCTTAATCACTGAGCTGCATACCAAGGCGTTGTTGGAGATTCGAACCACAGTTTGGGTACATATTGGCTACCTGAAGAGACTAGCAAAAAAGACCACTAAGAAGACTACGACGTCTTCTTGTTTCGGTGATGATGTTTCTCCAGCACAAATTGTATAGATTCTGTTTGTTTAGTTTGCACGCGGGCAATGGTTGATCCGGGCTCACCGCCTACGATCCTCTCAACTTTTTTTTTTGGCGACAGAAAGACAGCGAGATAAGCGACTCGACTTTTCTTCAGGTGTCTGAAGTTTGAGCAGTCGAGGATTTGTTTGGGTGATATAATAGTTAATCACTGCAAATTCTTTGTGTTTCCACTTTCACCCCGGCCATTGAAGGGCCGAACGGTTTAACGCTTATCACTGCATTTCCATATCAGTCGAGGCCTCACAGCATACCGCAACGATGCCTCACCGTGCTGCCTCTCCCGCAGAGTCGGAGGTCGAATTCGACATCACGAAATCCCTTTTTGAAAATGACAGCGATTCCGATGACGGCGCAAAGCCACCCCTCAAGAAAAAATCCCAGAAGCCCGATACCAACGAAACTCTTGACTTCCTAAACGAAGACGATGGCGATGCGGCTTTCATTGCGAACTCGCAGGCGTCCGCCAACCGGAAGGGCGCAAACCTCAAGGGCCGTACTGTGAAGAAGGGAGGTGGTTTCCAGGCAATGGGTCTCAGCATGACTCTGCTGAAAGCAATTACCCGCAAAGGATTTTCCGTGCCTACTCCGATTCAGCGAAAGACTATTCCCGTGATCATGGACGACAAGGATGTGGTTGGCATGGCTCGAACTGGTTCCGGAAAGACTGCCTCGTTCGTTATTCCTATGATTGAGAAGTTGAAGAGCCACAGCACCACGTTCGGTGCACGTGCTCTGATCATGTCCCCATCCCGTGAATTGGCTCTGCAAACCATGAAGGTCGTTAAGGAGATGGGCAAGGGAACGAATTTGACGACGGTGCTTCTCATTGGTGGTGACAGTCTGGAAGATCAGTTCGGCATGATGGCTAACAACCCCGATATCATCATCGCGACACCCGGTCGATTCCTGCACTTGAAGGTTGAAATGGACATGGATCTCTCCAGCATCAAGTATGTTGTCTTCGATGAAGCCGACAGACTGTTCGAAATGGGTTTCGCCGCTCAGTTGACCGAGATTTTGCACGGCCTCCCCACCAACCGCCAGACTCTTCTCTTTTCCGCTACGTTGCCCAAGTCACTTGTCGAATTCGCACGCGCTGGTCTGCAAGAGCCAAGTCTGATTCGTCTGGATACGGAAAATAAGGTCTCGCCTGATCTACAAAATGCTTTCTTTGCTATCAAGTCATCAGACAAAGAAGGTGCCCTACTACACATTCTGCACGACATTATCAAAATGCCTACCGGCGAAACAGATATTGGCATAAAACTACGCCAAGAAGCCGAGAATCCCTCACGGAAGCGCAAGAGATCGGATGTCCGTCTCCCGAGCGGCTTCAAGGAGTCACCTACCAAGCACTCAACCATCGTGTTCGCTGCGACTAAGCACCACGTCGACTACCTCTATTCTCTTCTCGTTGAGGCAGGGTTTGCCACCTCCTATGCCTACGGTTCCCTGGATCAGACTGCTCGTAATCACCATGTTCAAAACTTCCGATCTGGCATTTCAAATATCCTGGTCGTCACCGATGTGGCCGCCAGAGGTATTGATATTCCTGTTCTTGCCAACGTCATTAACTACGACTTCCCCTCACAGCCCAAGATCTTCATTCACCGTGTGGGTCGTACAGCCCGTGCCGGCCAAAAGGGTTGGAGTTACAGTCTTGTCCGCGACAAAGATGCCCCATATCTTCTGGATCTTCAGCTGTTCTTGGGACGCAGACTAGTTCTCGGTCGTCAATATGGCACTGATCTCAACTTTGCAGAGGATGTTGTCGTGGGAACGCTGTCGAGAGAGGCTATCTCTCGCTCTTGCGAATGGGTACAGAAGGTGCTCGACGATGATGTAGATATTTTCGGACAAAAGCAAGTGTCTCAAAAGGGAGAGAAGCTATACCTACGCACCCGCAATTCGGCCTCCGCCGAGAGTGCGAAGCGGGCAAAGGAGGTTGTCTCTTCTGACCACTGGGCCGAAATTCACCCGCTCTTCAACGACGCAACCAGTCAGAGGGAAGTAGAGCGAGAGAGTATGCTGGCCCGTATTGGTGGTTACCGACCCCATGAAACGATTTTCGAGGCGAACAACCGACGAGGCGGCAAAGTGGCTGACAACGAGGCCGTTGACACCATTCGCCGAATTCGCACCACTGTCGAGAACAAGAGAAAGCGGGCGGATGCCAAAGCAGAGGCCGAGATGGCAGCACTTGGAATGCCCACTCCTGGCGAGGATGGTGAGGTTGAGGACGATGATATCCCCGAGCAAGCCGGCGAGAACATGTCAGAGGCATCGGACGATGAACTCGAGGTCACGTTCTCTTCCTACAACTCCAAGCCCAAGCAAGGAGAGAAGAAAGACGCAGCCGCGGCATTCCAGAACCCCGATTATTTCATGGGCTACACACCTCAGCACAACGACATGGCCGAAGACAAAGCCTACGGTGTGCACTCTGGTACCAACTCGAACTTTGCCAGCGACTCGCGCAACGCGACGATGGACCTCAACGGCGATGAAGGCAAGCGCGGGTTCGGCGAAGCGCGCTCCATCATGCGCTGGGACAAGCGACACAAGAAGTACGTTGCGCGCCAGAACGACGAGGACGGCTCCAAGGGCAGCCGACTGGTGCGCGGCGAGAGTGGAGCCAAGATCGCGGCCAGTTTCCGCAGCGGTCGCTTCCAAGCCTGGAAGAAAGGCAAGCGCGTGGATCGGATGCCTCGTGTTGGCGAGGCCGAGACGCCTGCTATGAACAATGTCAACTCGCGCATGAGCAGTGGGCGATTCCGACACACGCAAGACCGGGCGCCTAAGCGGGCTGATCCTCTACGTGGCGACTACGACAAGATGAAGAAGAAGAACGAGGCAGCGCGGGAACGCCAGCACGAGAAACTTGGTGGTGCGGCGTATGGTGGAAAGAGCGAGCTGCGGTCTACGGATGATATTCGCAAGGCGCGGAAGCAGCAGCAACAGCGTCGCGATAAGAATGCTCGGCCGTCGAAGAAACGGTAATGGATTAGGGGGATGGAAAAAAAATTTACTGTAGAATAGACGTCTATATTGAAGAGATACCACAATTTGTGTTCGGAGATTTTACTTAGTCCTCCGTAGTCATCCAAAGTATGAATCCGGAATTTAGGAACCGCCCAGTTCACCACATGGGAAAGAAGTTGTGTACCTAGACTCGATGCTGTACGAAGACAGATTGAAATCTTGGCCAACTCAACATTGGAACTTGGCGATGCAGGCCATCACGTTTAAACTGTGCATCATGGGCAGTGA